AGACCACTGTTTGCAGAATTGAGAAGGAATCATGGAACCCTTTACATCAGTTTGCTTTGGGCTCCATTCTCACTGTCATAAGATGTGAGAAAAATTGAGCCTAATAAGCTTCAGGCTGTAAATTTCCATTTTTCAGATGGAAATTAAGAAGAAAATACAGTGGGGTTCCAACATTGATCCATCATCCCTTCCATTTCAGGCTGATAGCTGGCATTGATGAGCACAGTTCTAGAAGTCTGATAATAACCTTTTTTTCTCTGGAGTCAAATCTTAGCTTTGTTTCACTTGTTTTCCGTGAAGCTAATCGCAGAAGATGTAGACAGCCAGCCTAATGGACAGATCCATTTTTCCATTGTGAGTGGAGATCGAGACAATGAATTTGCTGTGGATCCTGTCTTGGGACTTGTGAAGGTTAAGAAGAAATTGGACCGGGAACGGGTAAGCTAATAGGTCAGCTCCCTTCCCACCCACCATCTGCCCCTTCACTGGAACCTATGGCACAGTTTTCACAAGCATAAAGAACAAGGTTCTCCATTCTAAATAAGAGTAGGATGAGATAAATCATAGAATAAAGTTGTATTTAGGTTGAACTTTTGAAAGCATTTTCTGCCAGTAACAGCAACTAGAAATATCTTATTGGTGGTTTTAAAGAAAAGGTAAATATGTATCTTTCTGGATCATTTGAATGTCAGTCCTTCCGAGAGCAAGGGTACATAGTACTGGTGTCATGAGCATCTTTAGCCTTAGGTAAGCAGATACAAAAAGATCACTGAAGGCATATAGGCCAGAAAGAAAATCCAGAAAATTTCTCTTAACGTTAAGCTAAATATATCAACATTGTCTTCCTTCACCAAATATATGTGTCTTCAAAGAAAAATCAAATATAGAAACCACTGTCATAATAATGATATTTTAAAAATAGAATCTACTGGGTAATATATTTCCATAATGCCAAAAATATTAAAAGTGACCAGAGAGGTCACTAGTGACCACTGTTGTGTTGAACAAAGGGCCAGAGCCATTGTTTTAACAGTGGATATTTAGAGACATTTTCTGATTGTCAAAACTGAGCAGAGAGCAATAGTGGCTACTTATAGGTAGAAGCCAAGGACTCTGATTTTTCCTATACCTAAGTCAACCCCAACAACAGAGAATTAGCCTCAAATGCCGGTAGTGCCAATGGTAAGAAACCCTGGTCTAGAGAATCCAGGTGCAAATGGTTGGTCTTTAACCACACACAGCCAGAATCTGCATTGTATCTAAGTGTGCACTGCAGGAGGGAGCACTACATTCATTATTATCATTGCTGTGTACCTAACAGGTGTCTGGGTACTCCCTAATTGTCCAAGCAGTAGACTGTGGAATCCCTGCAATGTCATCAACTGCAACTGTCAACATTGATATTTCTGATGTGAATGACAACAGCCCGGTGTTTACACCTTCCAACTACACTGCTGTGATTCAGGTAAGCGTATGGGGACTGCAAGGCACTGGTATGTGAGTTCAGCTTCCTGTCCTCTAACGTGGTTTACTCATTGTCTTAGTGAGTTAGAGGTACTGTAACAAAATAACTTAGAGTAGGGAATTTATCAACAAAAGAAGTTTACTGTTGACAGTTTCAGAGGCTAGGAAGTCTAATACCAAACCTCCTCAGATAGCAAACTTTCTGTATCTGATGAGGACTTGGTCTCTGCTAAAAGTTGACACCCAGCTGTGTCCTCAAAAGGTAGAAAATGCTAGCCAATTCTCTTTGGCCTGTTTAATGAGAACACTAATCTCTCCCAGTATATCTGCTATTCAGTACTGTCTCTCTGAGGCCATTCTATCAACATATAAATTTAAGGAAGACACAAGACATCTGGATTGTAGCACTCATTAGGGATTTGTTAGGGTTACTTGGTATCTACTTGTCCATTCTCAGAGCAGGTAGGAAAAGAACACAGTTCTTCTGGCAATGCTGATGAATAATATTAGGAAGAGGTTTCAAAGACCAGGTTCTTTCAACACTGTGCTTTACATGGACAGTCCCTGTCATGGCAGCAAACTGTCAAGTGTTGTTGTGGGTTGACCCCTACTGAACGGTTGTAGGTTAAGTTATTCATCCAAGACCGTGCTGCTGAGGTGGGGCAGAGTCGGACTTTGAACTTGGGGTTTCCTAAGCATAGCTCTCTTTTTCCGTAATACCATGTTATCTTTTTTTTTTTTTTGGTGGAATTGGGGATTGAACTCAGGTCCTTGCGCTTGCCAGGGAAGCATTATTCCACTGAGCCATCTCCTCGGCTAATACCATGTTATCTTTAAGCAACTTTGTGCTATTCTGACGGGGAGGGAGATTGACGTGGGCCATCTAATCAGTCAAAGGGAGGCTAGCCATCAGGATAAAGCTGCTGCTCATTAAAATTAATGTTCCATAAGGAATTTGTATGGCACTTTAAATACATCTGCTCTTTACAACTAGATTTCAAGATTAAAGTGACATACTGCTGGCATGTTGCTCTCAGAGAATGAATCTCCTTTCCATTTATTTTTTATTCACAAGATATGAGTTCAGTACCAGAAGCTGAGCTTCCTCTGTCTACTTTCCAGTATTTCTAGAAGCTAGAAGCCCAACTTGAGATGGATCAGGAAATCCATCCTCGGAATAGTGTGGAGGACTTAGAGGAGGCAGAAATTGAGGCATGTGTCCCGGCACAGATACTGGTTCCAGTTTGGTCTCATAATCACCCAGGGCTTTGTGGGTAGAAGGAGTGATGAGGATGGGCCAAGTTTTGAGAGCCTTTTGGGATAACCTTGAAGACTGAGTCTCATCACTAACATCTTCCCTTTCCCACTGCCACTCTACTGAACTGTCCAAAACTCATGCCTAGCAGAGGTCATAAAGCAAGCAGCCACCCACTTGTGCCCAACCCTTTGTCAGTGCAATCCTGCTCCTGCCTGACAGAATCTTGGCTTTCCCTTGCTCTGATGCTTCTTGCAGCAGTTGTATATGTTGGTCACCCTCTGCTTCCACCAGAGCCTGTGCTGTCCTCCATTTCTTTCTCTCCGATTGCTGTGTTGATGACCGCCGTCCACCAGTGAGCTCACTCTCTGTGTCTTACCACTACCATATGCTTCACCCAAATGGGCTTTGCCTACTCAACGTTCAGTTTTCCAGCATGCGTCCGTCAGCCCAACAGACTATTTTCAAATGCACAAAGTCAGTGCTGAAAGAACAAAAGTCACCCTGTGAGTGGTGACTGGGTCCTCTCTCCATAAGACTGGGCCTGTTTGTGGTATTTTACACCCTACTTTCTCAGAGAGTGACCCCAAGGGCTCACATTCTCATTCTGTTCCTCTCTCTGTGGAGGAAACAGCCTTTGTAGAGTAAGCAAACAAATCAATCAATCTTTCATTTTTTGCAGTGCGAAGTATGTGGTCAGTGTGCAGTAGTAAATCTTCTCAGAGCTGAGGCAGCCCCATGATGGGCTCCAGAGGGAAGCCATATCTAGCAAGAGGTGCCTGAGAGAAGGAGCCAAGGAGAGGTCTTTAAGGCTCTCTTTTCTTTCTCCATTAAAATAGGTACTTCCCTTCCCTAGCCCAGAATAACTTCATGATGTCAACAAAATGAATCCAGCACAGAGAACTTGAGTGGGCCCGCCCACCGCTCTGCAGTGCCTCACAGACTCTGCTTCTGTGAGCAAACTCACTTACAACCACCTTGGGAGGAGCCTGAACATTCAGCTGACTGCAGACCAGTGCAGCTAGGATAATGCTGAAATCTGAACACTAGCTCAGGGAGACCTATGCCCGAGCCATGCAGAGTTGAATCCAGCATGCTCAAAGTGGAGATGACTTCTGACCCAAGAAAGAACTCAAATGATTCTTTGTTTTGCCATGTGGGGGAAAAGATAGAGAGATTTGAAAAAATAATGATTGCATAATTCCTTTCTGCATTACTCTGAAGTTCAGAAATATTCTACCTGCTTTCTCTCACAAGGCAAAACTGCGTTGGGGGCGGGGAGGCGGGCGTGTATGGAAAAGCCCCACATTCCACCTGGCATATCCCTTTGTGTAATGGCTGGGGAGTTGCCGGCATGTTCCCCAAGATGGCTGACATGGTGACGTTGTGGGGCAGTGTTGCTCAGGCAGTGTGGGTTGTGGTAAGTGTGAGGGATAGCTTCCCATCCCAACAAAGTAATACTTTTTTGACCTGAGAGAATTTCTGACATAGTCACCAAGGCTAGAAGGAGCCCTTTGGTGGAGGGCAGGATGTAGCCCACACATGTGTGGGCCCTGTCGCCTCAGGGGAGCCCATGTTCTCTGAGGAGTACCCTCTCGTGGGGAGAGTGGGGAGGCCTCCGCACGTGGGAAATATGACACCTGAGTGGCCAGGATGCTTTCACAGATAAGATAATATCACAGGGGACCCTTTCTGCTGAAAGCCTGGTTTTCTAGTGCAGCACTTTCAGTCAGCTATAGTGTTGTTTTTTACTTTTTTTAATGTGAAAATAGGTGTAATTTTATCTTCCTTTTCACTATACACCTTTACACAGGAAAATAAGCCAGTGGGGACCAGCATCTTGCAGCTGGTGGTGACAGACAGAGATTCCTTTCACAATGGGCCTCCCTTTTCATTCTCTATTTTGTCGGGAAATGAAGAGGAGGAGTTTGTGCTGGATTCTCATGGGATCCTCCGGTCAGCAGTGGTTTTCCGGCACATGGATTCTCCAGAATATGTGCTGTGTGTCCAGGTAAGTCCTTATTCTCTGTCCACCTCAGACTACCTCTCTCGAGTGCATCTTTCTCTCATGTCGTTGGGTTACCTTTGTTGAGCAGGCCACCATAATCCATTACTGTGAAAGAATGTTCTCATTTTAAACTCAAACTCAATTTCACACCAATAAAAGTGGCCTCTGTGTGTGAAATTGAACAGGAAGGAAGAGATGCATCATTGTTCAGAAGGGCCTTTCCTATTGCTTGCACCCAGCACATGGTTACTAGGACTAAATCTGCGTTTTGAGACTTCCCAAGGTCTTAAGTGACCCACAAAGACAATAATTTGGCCAATGCTTGCTGTTTTGTGCTAAGTATTATTCATTGCATTACTTCACCTGACAAAGCCATCAATCTTGTCTTACTGGGACTTAGGCTTATCATGGCCTCTGCTGGTTAGGCCTTCCCTGGGAAGCAAGAGGGAACTCAACACTCAGCTGGCACTGGCTTCCCACCATCTGAGTTCCTCAAGATTGCTGGCCTGTGTGACATAAAATGAGACAGGGAGGCGACAGTAGAAGGCATGCAAAGGCTGAATAGCAAAATGAGAAGCATATGAGACTCTTAGCACAGGAACTTTGCTAGCCCCAATATTTGGATCCCAGTAGTCAAGCAGTACTTTTGTAAACCCACAGTTAAACACAGAAGGTAACCTAGACCAGTTATGAGCGATGGCAATGATAATGACAATCATTTGTTGTATTTGCATAGCATCGGTCTATATTATTTCTTCAGATAGGTTAAGCTCATCCAACTCCAGAAACCACCCAAATTAGTAATGCTGGCTCTGAGCAGATCTGAGAACTCTTCAACCGTGCCACCACTCCTTCAAAAACACCAATGAAAATAATTCTCAGTCACATTCCAGAGGTCAAGGCGCAGCAGATACTTTCAATGTTGGCTGAAAAGCCAGGTACGAAGGGAGCCGCAGAGCCAAGATGCGAGGCACTTGCTCTTGTGTTACCTTCCAGGCACAAAGCCATGTTTCCCTGGATGCCACAAGGCCTGCAGGATCTCTGTGGCCATGCCTGCGCAGGTTCTGCCTGTGCAGCCAGCCTTTGGGAGCACGGCCTTCCTCTGAAGCCTTGTGCCACAAGCTACCTCCAGCTTGCACATGCTGGGTGCTCAGAAAAGATCTGTTGTCCGAGTGATGTGTTCCATTGATTTCTACGTAAAGAAGCAAGACAAAAGGGTTTTCTTGTGCTACTTATTTTCTCCTTTTTGTGGCACTTTTTATTCTAAACTTCACTTGGATATAATTCCCACTTAAATAATGTTATTTAAAAAAAAAAAAAGGAAAATGTGTGGAAAGGTGCCATCTAGTCCAGTGAAATGGAAAGAATCCAGCAGAGAATAAAGATTCCTTCTCTGAGTGGAAATACCATTTTATGAGATTTTTCCCTGTGATTTCTATCCAAAATGAAAACAAGGCCAGCCTGCTGTGGGCATGTTAGGGCTCATAGCACTCCCGACTTCCTTCCCGATTCACCCCCACTGATTTTATTGTGTTGACACATTTCATTGTCTATAAAGAAGTGTATGTATGTGAACTGAAGGTAATAAATCATTCCTCTTACTTAAATGTACTTACTTGGCATGTTTAAGAATAGTAACAGGCATAGAGGAAGAATCAAATCTGATTAAAGCTACAGTGCTGGAGAGATAGTTCAGTAGCATAGGTGCCTGCCTGGCAAACACAAGGTCCCAAGTTTGATCCCCAGTGCCACACGCTGTTCCACCCTCACATCTTGCCAGCCCTAAATCTGGGCAGGGTGGTTCACACCTATAATCACAGCAATGGGGAAGTTGAGACAGGAAGTTCACTAACTAGTCTGAAGCTGCATAGCAAGACACTGTGTCAAAAATATTTTTTTAATTAATTTTAGAAATAGGGGCCAGGGAGATAGTTCAGTAGAATAAGTGCTTGCCTGGCAAGTGCAGGGTCCTGAGTTCAATCCCCAGTACTGGAAAAGAAAAAAAGAAAAGAAAAGAAAAAAAAAGAAATATAAAATAAAGCAATAGACATCATCTATCTGAAGAGTTGTTTTTTTTTTTTTTTTTCCAAACCAAATTGGTAGGGCAGTCAATAATTAACACATTGCATAATTCTTCCTAGTGGTTAATTGCTGTACAAGATGCGGACATGATATCCTATTTACAAATACTATTAGAACAAATCCCTCTATTCATTAAGAGAATGTAACTATATATCTATCCTAACCACTTTGAATACACAGATACAAAATGGACATTCATCTGTATCCTCTTTTTTTGTTAAGTTCCGTTATTTGAATATTATAGGTGTATAAACTCAGCAAAATATTCTAAAAGAGTCCAGTAGCCCATAATAGTATTGGGTCTTCGGCTGCACTGGCAGTGTCAGAAATTGTTGACCTGAGTCCCCTACAGCTCAACGTAACACCATAGCTTTACTTCTTATATTTCGTTTTTATACTTTTGTGCTGGATGGTTAAGACCAAGGTAAAGCAGGACCTATGCAACAAGAGTTGTAACTTTTGGGTCTGATAAGGTCAGTGAAATCCCCTCAGGATTTATCCTGAGATCCTGTATCTCAGATTGTAGAACCTTTGTCAGTGTCAACCACGTGGATGAGTCACGGCCATTGCTTGGCCAATGTGCTCTCTGTGAAAGCCTGAGAGAATGTTTTCTGTCCATGTGACTCTCCTTAGGCACACTGTACATCATCAATCACTTTCCTCTTTGGCCCCATAATCTCCTTGATCAGAAAATTTGGGACTCTACTGAGTTATATGAGGTTACAGTACAAGTTCTCCTATGTCCTGTGTCTTAATTGACCTTGGAAGGCTAGGGCAAAATGTTGGCTTTCCTTGCAGCCCTCCTTTTTCTCTAATTTTGGTCTGCAAACTTAGGTTGTTAACCATCCAGAAGACAAGCTTATTGTTATTACCATACAACTTAGGCTGTTAAGCTTAACCTCATTATCTGTCTGAATATCAAACATCTTAGGCATAACATGGAACAGGTATTTTTCATCAAGTATTGATATGTTGAACTTTACGTCCCTACAGAATATGATGAAAAAACATTTAAAAATTAGAATATATTTTAAAGGGGCTGGTGAGATGGCTCAGTGATCTGAAGCACCTACTTAGAACAAGCTTGGCGAAGCACAGGGACCGCGGTTCAATCCCCCAGCACCACATCCCAGCCAGCCCAGCCCCCTGGTGGGCTGAGCTGGCCACACACACACACACACACACACACACACAAATTAAAAAAAAAGAATATATTTTAAAAATAGGCATAAAGAATTATATACTTCTTATGTTTACACATAAGTCCAAAAATCTAGCCATATACAACCTTGAAGCAGGAAAGTCCCACAATATTCCTTTTCCTGTCTTTTGCCTTCATTCACCACCCCATCTGAAGAGTTTTTATAAAATTATTATGATTTTTTTCTCAATCCTTTATTTCTTCCTTCCTTGGTTGCCCTAGGCAAAGGATTCAGGCAAACCCCAGCAAGTTTCTCACTCCTATATCCGTGTGAGGGTCATTGAGGAAAGTATCCACAAGCCCACAGCCATCCCCTTGGAAATCTTCATTGTCACCATGGAGGATGACTTTCCTGGTGGGGTTATTGGAAAAATCCATGCCACAGATCAAGATATATATGATGTGCTCACATTTGCCCTGAAATCAGAGCAGAAAAGCTTATTCAAAGTGAACAGTCATGACGGGAAGATCATTGCCCTGGGAGGCCTGGACAGTGGCCAGTACGTCCTGAACGTATCTGTGAGTGATGGCCGCTTCCAGGTGCCCATTGACGTGGTTGTGCATGTGGAGCAGCTGGTGCACGAGATGCTGCAGAATACTGTCACCATCCGCTTTGAAAACGTGTCCCCCGAGGATTTTGTGGGTCTGCACATGCATGGGTTCCGGCGCACGCTGAGGAATGCAGTCCTCACGCAGAAGCAGGACCGCCTGCATATCATCAGCATCCAGCCTGTGGCAGGCACCACCCAGCTGGACATGCTCTTCGCTGTGGAGATGCACAACAGTGAGTTCTACAAGCCGGCCTACCTGATCCAGAAGCTGTCCAGTGCCAGGCGGCTCCTGGAGAGCGTCATCCGCATCACGGCCATCCTGGAGAAGAACTGCTCGGGGCTGGACTGTCAGGAGCATCACTGTGAGCAAGGCTTGTCACTGGATTCCCATGCACTCATGACCTACAGCACGGCTCGCATCAGCTTTGTGTGTCCACGTTTTTACAGGAATGTGCGTTGCACTTGTAATGGTAAGTGTAGCTTACACAGTTCTTTCTGATCTCCTAAGACTTTAGGAATAGAAGATCCAGGCTCATAAGCATCCAATCACCCGTTCAGCTAAACACTAATTGATCACCTACCGTGTGCTTAGTAATGATGACAGATGCTGAGGCTGCAAGAGAGACATGACAAGCTGGTCCTCACTCCTGAGGAGAGTTAGCTTAGGGAGAGCAGCACAGGCATGAGAGCGTTAGCTTAGGGAGCAGCACAGGCAGGCAGGAAGGCCTATGTGATCAGTGGTGTTAGACGTACAGAATCCTGGGGGCCAGCCCAGTGGCAGGAAAGGCTTTCTAAAAAGAGAATCATAGGTTGAGACAAAGGTCAAGAAGGAATTGGAGCGGAAGGAGAGTATTCCAGGCAGGAAGCAGCTTGCATGGACAGACTTAAGTGGGAAAGCAGAACCAATGCAAGGAGATTGAAAGAGCTTTTGCCTCATTGGCAAGAGGTGGCAGTGATGACAAATGAGACCAGAGAGCAGGCCCAGTAATCACACGAGGGCCATTAGCCAAGATGAAGAATTTAGAAATTATCCCCAGGCAGTGGAAGCCATTGGCTGATTAGAAGTGAAGCAGTGACAGGATCCGCTCTGTCTGTCACAAAGGGCTGCAGTGGGAAATGGATGAGAGGGGTCACAGGCCAGAGGCAGGAAAACAAGTGAGAAAGCTGTTGCAGAGCGGAAGGGCAGTTCGATTTACTTCAATAAAAAACAGGGGCATATGATCAGGAGTACAGTCAAGGAATAGATGCAACCCTCAGAGCCCAAAGCCAGAGTGGCTCGTGGTGGTTAATAGCTGCAGTCATTGAGCCTTGCCCTCTACTGGTGAGAGGTCATAGCTGCATGGGTCATATGGCTGTAGCAGTCAGTAAGGGTGATTTCTTTCTCTCCTCCTCTCTCGACATCTGGAGCCATGAAGTCACTGCCTTCTCAGAAAATTACACCCAGAGTTTTTCTACTTGGTGTCAACTTGATCCACAAGGACGATAGCCATCAGGGAGGCCATTTGTGAGATATCCTTCAAGGGAACTACAGACAGACAGCATCCCGGGCCTTTTCTCTTGCACAAAGTTCTTGGTTATAGTTGTTAGAGAACCCAGGGCTCACAGATCCTGTCCAGAAATATTTTTATAGCTTCCAAGCAGTGCAGGTGACACTCACTTCTGGACGCTCACTCAGCTGTACCCAGTGAGTTCTGCTGCTCTTTCATCAGGCAGATGCAGTGGTGATCAGACTTGTGAAACCCCTAAATTCACGACAGAGTGACTTCAGCCATGCATGCAAAGTGAAATGCATTTCTGGCAGATGTCATCAGCGTGCAGAGTTTATGAATGCCAGCCGCCTGGGCCTCACCTCGATTTCCTTCTCTGGGAGACTGATTTATGCGTCAAGTCTCTGCTAAGGCCTCTGTGCAGAGATTCACAGCAGGCTTCAAAATTGGTTAGGACAGGACAGGGCAGACTCTGCTGGAGAAACTACACTAGACTGTCTGTCTAATCAATCCTTGTACTCTGGAAACTCAGAGCAAAAATCTCTGGAGGCAGCAGTGGCCTAGGCACTGAAGATTCAAACTGAAAATGACTTATTCTCTTCCCTGGAGCTCACTATGGAGAAGCCAGTTTGCGAGCACCTGCATGCTGAAATCCTTACTAAATATGTGGGATAGCATAGAAGCAAGGAGTTCTTCCCATGGCCTTTGGTGATATTTATACACAGGGGCCATGTATGCACTGAATCTTTGGAGATGAGTATGAGTTCATTTAAAAGAGATAGGTGTGGCAGGCGCTGAAGAATCTCTTTAAAAGAGGTACTTAGAGGGATAATCTTTTGGGGGATAGAAGAGATTGATCTTTATTTTGTATAAAAACATCATTATTTTTAAGGTTTATTTATTTGGTACAGGGCCTTGCTTTGCAGCTCAGACTCATAGTGATCCTCCTGTCTCAGCCTCCCCAGTGCTGGGATTACAGGAATATGCACCATGCATCGTTTCAGTGCCCACACAGTGCAGGGCCAGCACAGCATGTGGTACAGGGGGTTAAACCTGGGTCCTTGCACTTGCCAGGCAGGCACTTACACTGCTGAGCTATCTCCTTGACCCTGTAGAAGATTATTTTAAATGTAAAAAGTTTCAAGGTCATGTCTTTGCCCAATCATCACCTCTTCCCTATAAACTTCCCTTCTTCCAGTAAACCAAAGATGCCAGAATGTCATTCTACCCTAGATGGCCCGAGAAGAGGCCTTCGGAGTTAGAAAAGGGAAGCCTGAGAGCTTGCTGTGTAGTCAGGCCAGACGCTCACCCTCTTCTCATCTTTAAGTCATTCTTCTAATTAAGCTATAAAATAAAATTCTTTATTTTAGTGGTGAAAGAACATCAAAAGGCACTCTGGCCCATGCTCATCTGTCGCAGCTGATGTACGATAATCCCTACTTTATAAATGCGAGCGCTCTGCTGCTCGCCCAGGGCTGTACTGCCAGTGAGAGTGGCCTACTGGTTGAGGAATGTCTCTAGAGTCCCCTGCTTTATTACCTGCATCTTAATGACATGGACTCTTCTATCTTTTATTTGCACCGTAATCTCAGTACTATGTGCCGAATATTCAGTGCCATTGTGCTAGTGGACTGACCACTATTCTCACACTTGCATTCCTGGAAGGCAGAGTTCTCTCAGCGTCCAATACTCAGAGGGCTTTCTACAAGGGGGGAGCCCCACACTCAACATGGGTAGCAGGTTTGTGCCACAGCCTGGGAGTCTATCCGTGCAGCCTGTGGTCGGGACCAAACTTGGACAAATCTTACAGCAAAAGAGGAAAACATTTTTTCCAAGATTAAGGAAAAAGCTCTTTTAGATATAGATATAGATATAGATATAGATATAGATATAGATATAGATATAGATAGTACCAGGAATTGAGCTCAGAACCCTGCACCTGCTAGGCAGGCACTTGTTCCACTGAGCTATCTCCCTGGTCCAGGAAGAAGCTCTTTATTCTAATAGTAATCTCTCTTGCACTTGTAAAGTTTCCTTTTGAATAAAAATACAGCGAAGAATTATTAAAGTAAGCAGTGGGCATTTTTAGACATCTTTTCATTTATTGGAAAGGAGAGGCATTGAATTGAAATGCCTACACACACACACACACACACACACACACACACACACACACACCCCTAGCATAGGCTGCTTTTATGTATACCCGAGGAGGCCAACAAAATCATTAAATGGACTTCCCCAGTACGTGGCAGAATAATTGACATGATAAACAGAAGCAGCTATCCGCTCTGGCCTGTACAGTAATGTTTTTTCCCATAATTTTATTGAGAAACAAATCGCAATGAGACAGTTGCACACCAAATTGGTAGGACAGATTCAATAATTAACACATTGCATACATGCTTCCTAGTGAGTAATGTTCATACAAACTTGGCCCCAGTGCTCTATCCTCTGCCCAACCTGCAACTCATCTTTCTCTCATGCAGAATTTTTGGGTCCGATTATCATCCTTAGCATCTTGAACCAAAGCACTGAGTTGCGTTAACAACATGAAAGCGAACTTGAATTGTAAAGCCACACAAACTATAGAATTCTGGCTACCATCTAGTATCAGGTTCACGCAGAATTTCAAGGAACGCAAAGTTCTGGTGTTGAAGATAGCTCGCGGTGAACTTTAGGTTCTCAATGAACACTCTCACTGCAGCAGGAGAGTTTGACATCAACTTACAACAAATGTGAAGTGATGTATTCCCTGGAACTCTCATAAAGGAAGTAAGAGCAAAGGTTACCAGGACAACTTAGAGTACTGTGCTGATTTTCATGTTTTAAAATTTCATTGACTTAAAAGTCTACTAAAAGTACATATCGAAAATGACACTCTTGGTGGGCTGAACTGGCCACCAGAAAAAAGACAGTCTTCTAAGGGAATGCACTCCCAGTGAGATCATCACATTCTACAGCTAAATGTGTTTATAAGGGTGATGACAGAAGTGGTTGCCCAATTTGTCACTTTTATTCAGTGTGGAACACAGAATAAACTCTAGAGCTCCCAGTGAAATGAATGGAGCACTGCCATGGATGAAGATGCGTAACACAGGAGCTGTTCCCTCCGAGTGTGGAGGGAGAGGATCGTTGGCGAGGTGCTTGAGGTACTGAAAACCCTGAAGCCCTGGAGGCAGCTCTACCTGGGTGAGGTCTAGAAGGATGCCAGGGGTCCAGGACAGGAAGTCTTAGGCTGAGGAACATGAACTCTGGGGAAGTGAGAAGCAGTGTGCATTTTAGTGCATAGAGTAAGGCTACAGCACGCATTACAACTAATCAGTCTGAGCTCTGGCCAGTTTCTGTTCAGTTTTTAAAGCAAGAGTAATTATACCTAAACCTCACTATGATCTTATGGAATATATATCATTAACTTTACTCAAAATTAATGAGACTAATTCAATGGACAAATTCAATTCATTTACTCAAGGTAAATGAATGGAGCTAGTAAATGGGTGAGCCAGGGTTTTTACCTGTCTTAGTCGACAGTGTTTCCCAAAAACTGAACCTTACCACCTATGGGCAGATGTGAAAAGAACTTAAAGTTTCAGTTTTTGACATTCTGCGACATCCTGTTTGCTATATTCTTGGGATGCTAATTCAACCCATTTTTGATCACCAGTGTCAGGGGCTCAAAAGACAGCCTTCAGAGGATCTTCTGCCTTATACAGTTGTGCTAAAAAGTCCATCTCCTTGGGCCGGCAAGATAGCTCAGCAGCCTAAAGCAGCTGCTTAGGCAAGAGTGCAAGGACTGTGGTTTGATCTCCAGCACCACATGCAGTGCCAGCCCTGCCCCCAGGTGGGCTGAGCCAACCACCGAAAAAAAGAAAAAGAAAAAGAAAAATCCATCTCTTTGTAACACCATACAGATTTATCATTCTAGTGATGGCAAACCTTCTAGAAGTTTCCATGATACAAACAGCCTGCCTGAGCATGCATGC